TGCATGTCCATGCTAACATTACATACCATGTCAACCTTAATGTACAGTGCAATTATGCGACCAGCTGGCCTCCGTAATGTATAATGCCCAGCGATCCATTGCTATGAAAATAGTGTAACAGCAAAATTTGTACAATGATAAGTTTAAAAGTTAATTTCTATGCAAGATGTAAGCTACAGTATACTGCAGTAGAGATCAAGTCTTGCAAGCTGCAATTAAACATTGTTGCATAGGTTCATATTTGGCCAGATTCTCTTTTGATGTTTAAAATGAATGTAAGAATAAATCAGAATTCAGACAAACTAAATGGTTTCGAAATAAATTTATGAATCTTGTATTCTGGAGAAATACATAAAGGTGATGGATTCAAATGCAAAGTAAATGCGTAATAAGGTAAACGTAAGCCTTTTATTTTATACACGACCCAAACTGTCTCATATCACATCCCTGCATTAACTTTACATGCTCGGTTGCAATTAAAAAGAACCTTATTGAAACATATTTACACATAACAGACAAAAACCCAACTAGGAAAAATAAAGGTAAACAGGCCATATGTGCTCTTTTCTTTTCTGAGTATAAAACTTTTTGGATCTTAAAACTACCTGTTAAGAAAAGGGTAATCGTATTCAAAATCATGAATTTGCCAGCTGAATTGTGAAAACAAGATGTAGTTGTTTTGTTTTTGTTTTGATGAAAATGGTACCGTGATGTAGGCCTGCTGTATGTAGGGGAAGCGCAATATAGCGTAAACGTATGATTGTTACAGTTTACGGCTGGAAATGAGTTGAAGTGTTAGTCTGCGGCGCGGCGCAGTCGCGTAATTATTGTGTAATATCTGTTGCAGTGGAGGTCGAATGCCGCAAAATCCACTTGCCCGGTTTTTGGCGGCTTCACTGAGACTTTAGTTTTACAAAATTCAGAGTGATTTAAAAATCACGACGATGATCTTGAGGATGGCGAAGAGAGCGTAAAAGATGAATTTCACTTGTGGAAGACAAAGACGGTATACCCGTGCGTAACGCACGATATTAAAGTTGGCCTACTAATGTCAGTATAGTGACAGTAGCCTTTGAATCATTTGGCCATCAGTCGTATAGGACCTTTTCCTAGGATTTTCTCAAGTACAATATAACTTCTTAATTGAGCTCGTTACTCTAACCTTAATTACTAAATGCTTTTAATATTATGGAACCACTGAACATTTTTTTTTGGGGGGGGGGTAATTAAAATAGTACAGGGCAACGTGTCCGCGGTTCGGAAATAGTGTTTATTATGGCCTTGTCACTCTATCTTCGTTACTACTAGTTCTTACCCTTGCGCATAATAAATTAGACCCGTAAACATGTACTGTCTTAATTTTACACATCGCAGTTTGCATTGCATTTTATGAAGCGCACTGATTTAGTGCCGCTGTGATAGTGCCGTGATAATCCCTAGAGCTAGCGCGCGCACGATCACGAGTAGAGAAGACATGCCCCGATATCTCCTACCGCATACAGATCTCACATGCACACCGCAGGTCTCATGAGCCTTGAGAATTTCACTCTCCTATTTAGATCAGCTGTTTCAAGCCCTTTTGGAATAACCTGTTTAAACCCACCTCTTGAAGGAAAGGGGATTGTTCGTGGATTGGGCGAGTGTAACTTTATTTCCTTTAATTGGGCGAATTGCCATGAATGACGATGTTTTGGTCGAGAACTTTTCAAGTCATGTTTAGGAAAAGAAGTGGAGTCCATATGTGTAATTCTTTCCTAATTCATTCTGACACCACACCATTAAATATTGTTGTATGTGTTACTACATTAAGAAACAAAAAATTCAAGAATTGTGTATGTAATTTAGAGGTTTCGGGAGCGTGGCAAAAGGGGCAAACTTTCAGGCTCTATACCAGAATATTTGTGTATGGTTTATGTCACACGTACAATATCTTGAAAAGATTTAGTCACTTTCAAATTTGTTTGGAAAAGGTGCAGCAAAAACTTTACGCCCATCAGTCATCCTTACTGCTTTTCTTTCCACTTCAGTGACCGAGAAAGCCCTTACCACATGCTGGAGAACTCGTACCTGTTTGACAAAGAGCTGTTGACACCTGACTGATTGAGATACTGGTCTCAGCTGCTTCGCAATGACAAACCTGCTGTATCTGCAATCACAGTATTCCCTGTGACCACATACCTTCAATGACACAAAACTGAGTATGTCCCAGAATGACCCTTCTGAAGACATGAAAGTGTAGTTTGAGCATTTTGGAGACTGCTCGTACTTGAGCGCATGGTACATCGTGTGGTTCACAATGAACGTTTATAGTGTCGTACACGTAACCGACCATTCAAAACACGTACTGCCCAGGCAACCTTCAATGGCAATTTGCTCCACAGGCTTCAAATCCATAACCACTGGTAGGCCACAAACCACAACATCGGCGGACAGATGAGAATGACTGTGTGGGTGCTTCAGAGTTGACGTCAGCTGCGAATACATCGAGCACACTGAAGGAGTGGCTCCAACCATGCTCTTGCTGGCTTCTGCAGACAAACTCTCCTTCAAAACAAACTGATTGTAAATCTGCTCTGGTACATACTGTGTTCCGTTGACAAACTTTAATAAAACTCCATTTTGGTCCTCAAACGTAAACCCAGATATTGCCCAGAGAGGACCCCAGCTTCTCGCAGACTGTGATAGGTGAACCAGTTGGTGGATATTAAATGACATATGTTGGATACCATAGAGGTGTTCCGTCTGCTCTACAAAATCTGAAAGCTGCCTTTCAGCCATGTCGATTGCTGTGGTTTTCACTTCATCTTGCAAGAGAGCATGCATGGCAGCTACCAGAAGATCCCAATGCCTCTTGAACCTACGACCTAACACTCCATCGAGGATGACCGTTGAATAAAAAAGCAAAAAAGCTCGGCATTCATTTGCTTTGAAGTACCTCCTGGCCTTCAGCGAACGTTGCCGTCTGGTTATTTCTTGTGGAGGACGGATTGCCAACATCCGCTCATCAAGCCTTCCAATACTTCTCCCAATATACCATGGTGACTGATGGTAGGAGGAATCAAACCACAATGTTGTCATCTGTCTGCATATTCCAAAAATAACTGCATGCATGTAATCGGGTGCAAATCCTGTGATAATGTTAAAATGAGGAAGAAGCATCAATATCGAGGGCCCTTTGACACCAGACACTCTAACCCCTTCTTCCAAAGCTTGATCAGCATGCCTGTGATGTTCAACTTTGGTCCGCAAAGCATGTTCCTCATATGGATAGACTCGTGCATGGCCTTGACCTTTAGCAACAGTTACACCCGGATGGTAGCACCAGTCACACCCAAAGCGCCCGTTAAACTGTATGTGAAACAGCACTTACAATAGTAATGGATCTGAACGCTCTCTTTATAATCTGTGAAATGCTTAAAAAACCTGTACTTTGTTGCAGGCACAATATTCCCGTATAACAGGTTTAACAAACCCAACAGATCTTGAACAGCATCCTTTGAAAGGTGGTGTCGAATGCAGTATGCCAACAGCAAAAGTAGACTTTGACCTTTGGTGACTTCTGACTCTGGTAAAACTGGTTTGTCTTTGTCTTGGACGTCATCCCATATAGTTGAATCGTCATCATCGTCAGAGATCTATTAAAATAAAGTAAATATAGAAATAAAATAGTTGTAAAATAGTTGTGTAATAGAAGTAACAAACCCGATGAAGTTAGTGGTCTACAAAATATACAATTTTTGTTGCTGGTCAACAGTTGGCCTTTAAAAAAAACTTACATTTTGTATAAGTGCGTTCAAGTTCTGCGAGGTCCATACTTTAAAAAAAAAACCAGTCGAACCTTGTTAGTAAGAGGTCCTTGGGACTTTACAAATTACCTTGTTATAACAGGTACCTTGTATTGTCAGGAGTCAAAAACAAAGAAACCGTAAGACTTGGGACCTAAAAGTGTCCTTGTTTAACCTTGCATTTGCAGTGCTCTTCTTATTGAGGTTCGACTGTACCTCTTTGTAGTGTATTAATTTTCTTCAACATTTTGTATGTTTACAATGCCATTTCACTTGATTATGAGATTTCTTATGTAAATCAACGCCAGACTTACTTTAATAAAAACCGAAACGATGTATATTTACGTATTTTTAAATACATAACTGTAAAATGATGTTGCTGCTTGATATTTCAGGTATAACCCCGTCAAAATACAGGTTTTCGATGTAAAATATATTTGAACGGGTTCATGCTGTCTAAATACAGTAAAATATCAAGATTGACTTCCTTTAAAATTACAGCTTAACGCTGCATTATCGGTTTCACAAGTTTTTAATATGTAAACAACTCCGGATTTACTGTTAAAAAATTAAACGTATTTTTAAAAACGTCTAACTATGAAATCATGTTGTTGCTGGATCTGTTTAGGTAAAACCCCATAAAATCAAAAATACATTTAACAGGTTGAGGTATAACGATATAATTACCCTAATTTTACGCGGCCATTTCTGCAAATTTACACCTGAAATACTGTAATTTTACAATGTGAGCGTGTAACGTTACTGTGGGACTCGGCTTATTTACCGAGGTCTGCAATGTCACCTTACAGCGGGACTGCTATTTTGCAATCTTCCCAGCACTGTGATTGAACAGTGTGGTAGTGAATTTACAGTTTCCAGTTATTTTACACAAATTTGCAACTATCTAATTAAATTTGAAGCTCATACTCACACTTGTGTTGTCATCCTCAGAATAGGATCTGTTTTGCACAGAACATGCATCATTGTGATCATCATCATGATCATCATGATGATCATCATCATCATCATCGCTGTCGATATCAGAGTCCTGAAATAAAGCAGTTGATAAAGCTCCCTTATATGCAAACAGGAATCAGTGAGTTTGAAAAGACTTTTTTCTACAATGATATGCGCATCTTTTGCATAAAGTGATGAGGACGTTGATTTTTCTGCTGGGTTATAAACTGCAGAAATAATCAAACATTTTGTAGTTATTCATTCAAAATAAGTACAATTATTTACCTGGGGCACGACACTTTCAACAGCATCTTGCGTATTCTCAGTAGGAATCTCTTCAGCAACATAGTCCTCACTGACATCTTCACGTGGCTGGAAGAATAATGAGGATAAACTAATGTTTGTGGGCCAGTCCGCTATCAACGGGACCGATTAACCAAACTGGCGATCGGTATTTTTTAATGTTCACAAAGTTTGTACACTGTATACGTTACAGTAATGTTGATGGCCCATAGGAATAAATACAGTTTCTCTGGAGAAACTGGTAAATTAAGCAGCTAACTTTAATACGGCGTCAAACATTTTGTGTGTGCAATATTCAATGCTGATACAATAATACAATCATATTATTCAATTCAAACACTTACAATTGAGTTTTCAGAAATTTGCGAGTCGTAAATAGAGACTTCATGGAGATCATCATCAACAACTTCGTCCTGACAATGCTGTAATAAAATGATTGATATGCATGATCAATTTACTATTTTAAATGTATGATTAATTACACCAAAAAGTAGAATTCGCATCCTTTTAGTTTATTAAATGAACTCTTCATAGTTGGAGCAATGCAGGATTTGCCAAAGAAAGGATGAAACCAATTTCAAATCTCATTTTACTAAACCAACATACGTTATATAGCACCTACCACGACTGCATTTTGCATTTTCTGTGCAGTTTGAGGGTTATTACAAAACCTTTTCAAAGAGTTATTGCTTGCCCTGGGTACGGGAGCATGCAAATCGACCAAATATCGCTTGTAAGGACCACGACGAACTCCCAGCTGGTTATTTTTGGCCATCATTCTGATGATTGAAATACCATAAAGAAATATGTATAACGAGAAGTATTAGTATAGGTTTTTCCCGGCTTATATAGGTTTTCCCGGCCAATTTCAACCAAATTTTGTTCGATTTCATTATGCACGTGCCCCTCTTTCTTGATCGGGATCAACTAATACTGTAGCGGTTGACCCCCCTTGGTGTTGTTTTTTATTTACTCAGGTTTTTGTATAATTCACTTAATTATCTCTCTATCAGAAATCGCTAGTTTCTTTAGTAAGATATAAATGTTGATTCTTTTGCCCATACAGATAACTTACTTGTACTTACATTGCATTACGAGCCGCGCGCCCAGTGTTTGTATAATTCAGCGATGTACATGTACTTTTTTATTGTTTTGTAAAGCCTCGTCCAAACTCTTGCCAAATTAGTTATGTAGAATTCCCCTAAGAGAATGTGCTTTTGGCTGTAAAATAAATGAATTTATTTGATATGTTTCAAACAATTTTTTGATATCCTTTTGTAGGGAATTATGGAAATTGTAACTTATGTAAAACTAGGTCAAGTTTTGACTTTTTTGTACGAGACTTAAGTGCGTAGCGCGGGCCATATAAAAGTCAAAGTGTGTTACTAGGCTGGCCAGTTGCCGTCTAACAAGCCACTGTTTATATACAGGTTAGTGCCTCCGTTATTTATAAATCTAAACTCAGACTCTCTCAAGTGTTGTGAAGTTCTCATGATTGTCAAAGATGCATAGTTAAGAAACCTCAAGTATAGATCCACACATAATTGCTTATTTTAGAATTGGACGGATTTTATTAGTTCTTCTGAATTATATATGTCAGGAAATGCTTTTAGTACTCAGTTTACTCCGGCTCCGGCTCGGTTACGTTATCGACTCCGGTAACACTATCTATTTTAAATTGCTGTATATAATTATTGGCGCATTGCCTTGAAGTTGAATAATAATTGACAAGATGTTTTAGAAGGTCTAGTGTGCATTTATTTAAACAAGATCCGGCTTTATACATTTATAATTGATGACTCAATGTACTCCGGTGATTAATCCTGATGACTCAATGTACTTTCTGGCACGCGACAATACATTTACTGATTTAGCCTACGGAAAGCCATAAATTTATCAGATTATCGGGAGAATCGCTGTTTAGGGTCAAGAACATCATAAAGATTGACAAATAGGGCCAACATCATGATCAAAAAGACGGTTTCAATCAACATTACAGGTTCGCACAATGGTTATAATAGGCCCTAGAAATGTGTACATGTAAGCCTAGACCTAGCCCAGGTTGGACGTCGTCTGCATTGCATTGCGACTGATGTCCAGGGTATAACGTTTTCATGTCATTGCGAACATTTGATTGAAAGCATTTTCTCACATTTTTACCTTATAGAGGAAGCTCAACTGGCGTCAACATATTCCTTGTATCCCTAATCACTCAAATTCATGGTTGAGAAGTAATGAATATGTCCCAGGAATAAAATATTTAAGGAAATTATCCGCTAATTCGTGCTTCCGATTGTAAACATCTCGAACCGACTGCTCGTGTGAAGGCTTGCGCTTGCGTGCGCGCATGCGTAGCAACTGAATGGCTCTCACGAATGCGTATTAGAATTGTGGGCGTATGCAAGTGTGTTCGTCACGCCGTGAGTGTTGTTGAAGCAGACAAGCACATGCAAATTCAAGTTGCAACTTTCTGAATTTCCTCAGGTGTATCGAGCACTTTGCAATGTCTTCATCTTCGAAATTTTGTGTAAATTGTGAAACGACCACGTTTTAGAAAGCCGAGCGAGGCTATAAGAGGCATTTGGTGAAAGTTTTGTCAAGCCCCGGCACATTCAGAAAAGCGTTCGGCAAGGTCATAACACCAGATGAATGTAAAACACAATTCCTGTGTTCAAAGTGCAAGGAAACATTAGTTTCCGAGACCATCCCAAAGAAAAAGGGTTCACAGAAAAGAAGCTTTCCGAAAAAAAACAACTCCACTTCTGATCCGGCTAAGCGACAAAAGACGAACTTTAAGACAACGGCGAAAAAACTCATTGACGAGTTTAAATACACGCAAGTGCTCAGATGCCTGATAAGGGGAAGCAAAAAAGCACGGAAGGCTATCGGGAAAGTTTGTGTCCAGCATATTCAACGAGAGGTAATAAAGATTTACAAATTCGTTATGATTGTTTTCATTAGTGTATTATTGATCAACATTATATTTGTATATGACATAAGCATTTCTTCAGTGGGTATTACGCTGGACGTTTTATAAACGTGTGATTATGTTAAGAAAAATATTATAATACTGTACCTAATTAATCAAGTGGTAGCGAAATTTATGGAAAGCGTGCAACAACGGTGGATAGACATTAACAAATTGGTGTTGTGTAAAATGTTTCAGTTCATCGGGGATATGCCAAGAACATTTTTGGTTGAAGGGACGCATTTACCTATGGCATACAAACATTTCGCTGGTAACCAGCTTATGTAAGGTGTGCGTTCAAAGTACCAACGGATGTTATTCGTCAGTTTGTCGGATTGCGCGTGCATGCACGTGCGATCCGACAAACTGACGAATAGCATACAAACAGTGTGAAGAACAACCGGATATTGCAGATTAATGTAATTTGACAAACTGACGAATGCGTTTACGATCAAATAAAATCATATCGCACAACTTCTCTGATTAAATAAGTGACCTGGTGGATACTTAGTTTCATATTTTATTCAGAATATATACTAACAGTGTTTTTATCGAAACATTAAGGGTAAAATACGGCGCCCGGAGAAGTGTCCAACTTCAAACGCGAATTACTCCAAACAAGGTTTTCGCTTATTTTCGTCGGTTTGTCAGCTCTGCGACGAATTGAGCCATCTTCGAGTCCGTGGGCATCGCCGATAGTTCTTGTCAAGAAGAAAGACGGTACTATAAGGTTTTGTGTAGACTACCGAAAATTGAATGCTGTAACTGTCAAAGATTCGTACCCGCTACCAAGAATAGATGATTCGCTAGATGCACTATCCGGTTCTACCTGGTTCTCCACACTAGACCTTCAAAGTAGTTATTGGCAGGTGGAAATGTCCGAAGAAGACCGCGAGAAGACGGCATTTGTTGCAGGCACTGGGCTTGGGTTTTATCACTTCAAAGTCATGCCTTTTGGGCTGTGCAACACGCCTGCTACGTTCGAAAGATTGATGGATAGAGTACTGACAGGGCTTCAGTGGCAAACCTGTCTGCTGTATTTAGACGACATTATGATCTACGGCCGGAGTTTTCAGCAAGCCCTTGAGCGGCTTGAGGACATACTAGTGAGACTCAAAGCAGCAGGATTGAAGTTGAGCCCCAAGAAGTGCAACCTTTTTCAGCGAAGTGTTACTTTTTTGGGACGTGAAGTTTCAGAGAGGGGTATTGCTACAGACAGTTCCAAGACAGAAGCAGTTCGACAATGGCCGACCCCAAGGAACGTCACTGATGTCAGAAGTTGCCTGGGTTTATGCTCATACTACAGGAGATTTGTGAGAGGGTTTGCCGAAGTTGCAAAGCCGCTTCACCGACTGACAGAGAAGAACCGTTGTTTCCTATGGACGGAGGAATGTAACAGAGCCTTCAGACAGTTGAAATCAGCACTTACATCGGCGCCGATTTAAGCCTATCCAACAAAGGAAAACACCTGCATTTTCATCTTGGATACAAATGCCAGTAATTTTGGAATTGGAGCAGTTCTATCACAGATGCAAGATGGAGCTGAGAAGGTCATCGGGTACTTCAGCCAGACGCTGACTAAAGCTGAGCGCAGATATTGTGTCACACGGAAAGAACTTCTTGCAGTAGTTGCAGCAACGAAGCAACTTCCATCACTATCTGTATGGCAGAAAAAAAGCACTGAGATGGATGATGAATTTCAAGAGCCCTGAGGGACAGACAGCCAGATGGCTAGAGGTCATGAGTTCATACACATTTGAAATACAGCATAGAGCAGGCATTAAGCACGGGAATGCAGACGGCTTATCTCGTCGGCCTTGCGATGACTGTGAGCAGTGTGACCGAGTCGAGCATAATTCCGAGCAACGACAAATCACACACAGTATGAGGATTCCTCGTAACCATGGTGCAAGGGGCAGAAGCAAAAACTCACCTACTCGAAGAGAAATAGAGAATGAAACCCAGATGTCAACACGTGATACTGCAGATGATGGGGACGAAGATAACAAAGAAGAAGATGATTCTCAAGACGGCATGGGCCCGGAAGAGGCCTTACATTGCGCTATCATAGACTTAAAAAGGGGACAGGAGAAGTACCGGCATGAGAAGTTCGGAGACGGCAGTTGGCCTGAGGTTGGCCATGAACACGAGGCCATGGATTCTTTGGGAAGAGATTTCCCTGGAGAGAAGTCCTGTAATGGTCATGGGCTGATGGACAGCCGGGAGTGTGCAGCCGTGAACGTGTGCTGTGGTAAGGCGTGTCCTGAAGAGTCTGAAGATGATGTAGAGTGCACAGCCAGAGACTGAAGACAGTCGCAGCTAAAGGACAAGACGATCGGACTGATCATCCGATGGAAAGAATCCCGAGATGTGCGACCAAAATGGAGTGAAGTTTCCCCAAGTGATGCAGTGGTTAAACGATATTGGAGCCAGTGGGACCGCCTACAGATGCGGGAGGGCATTTGTACAGAAAATGGGAATCTGAGAAAGGGGATAGGATAAACATGGCAGCTAGTCCTTCCTGCCGAGCTTAGACGAAATATAATGCAGCGACTCCACAGTGACCCGACAGCCGGTCATCTCGGAAAAACTAAGACGCTAGACAGGATACAGAGACGCTATTACTGGTATGAATGGCGACAGGATGTCAATCGACTTTGTAAATCATGCGATGATTGTGCGAGACGGAAACCTCCACACAAGAGACGAAGAAGTCACATGAAGCAGTATAACGTGGGATTACCGATGAAGAGAATTGCTATAGATGTACTGGGGCCGTTACCGACAACAGACAATGGTAACAAGTATATACTAGTCGCAGGTGATTATTTCACTAAGTGGACTGAGGGGTATGCAATACCTGATCAAGAGGCGACTACAGTTGCCACAAAGTTGACAGAAGAATTTATCTGCAGATTTGGAGTACCCCTACAACTTCACTCGGACCAAGGCCGAAATTTCGAGTCACGTGTGTTCCAAGAGGTTTGCCGAATAATGGGAATCGAAAAGAGTAGAACTACCGCCCTCCACCCACAATCTGATGGCATGATTGAGCGATTCAATCGAACACTGGAGGCGATGTTATCGATGTATGTAGCCGATAACCAGCGAGACTGGGACCGTCATCTACCGTATGTCATGATGGCGTACCGAACATCAGTGCATGAAACTACAGGTTGTACACCAAGTGAAATGATGTTAGGCAGAGACATCCGACTACCTGCTGATTTATTAACAGAACGACCTGCTGAGGACGAAAGTTGTGAGCCAACACAAGATTATGCATGTGAGTTAAAGAACGTCTAGAACGAGTACACAGATTTGCCCGCATCCATCTCAAGGTAGCCAGCGACCGCCAGAAGAAGAACTATGATCAGAAAGCCGAACAAGGAGGATACAACCAAGGAGATGCAGTATGGCTGTACTGGCCAAAGAGGAAGAAAGGATTGAGTCCAAAGCTACAGCGACCATGGGAAGGCCCGTATCTCGTCACGAAACGTTGAGTGATGTGACGTACCGGATACAGATGACCAGCAAATCGAAGCCGAAGATAGTTCAGTACAATCGTTTGAAACCTTATTGTGGTGAAAATCCGCCAACATGGCTGACGTCTTCACAATCAACAAATCTACAAGATGGGAATGATGATTCTACCTACCGAAGTTGTAACCGAAGAAAGGAGCAACATTGGGCTCAAGAAATCGCGGGAGACAGGCGAAAAAAGAGACGGGGGAAGTCACAAGACCCAGGAGAAGTCAGCGCCACCGAAAAGTTCCAGTAAAGTTTGGAGCATACGAGTATTAATTATTAAGAAGCAGAAAATAATTAGTACTGATTAAGGATTATAAATTTATTAGGAAATGGTATGAGGAAGAACCAGTCATTCCAAACAACAGGTATCGTTTGCTTACGCAGACGATTATGCGATTTGCATAATGAAGGTAATTGGCTAATTTACGCGCGAACGCGCGTACGCGCAAGGTGAAGCTCTAGCTCAGCTCTAGCTAGCTGCAGCTGGCCGGCCAGGTGGCCAGGCCTGGGATGTAATAAATCACTTCAGTTTGGCCCATCACCCAAGCAAGATGAAGTTCAGTTGTGTGCACTGCCGGAGTATCTTTTCAAACAGGAGAGACTTAAGGCGCCACACGGAGGAGAGACACCGTGGCCGAGACAGAAGATGCGGATCATGCAACTACCAACCCATAGTGAGGATGACCTCCGACGGCACCAGAGGCGAATGCATGATCAGAGGCCAAGTGACAATCGCCGGGTACGGCCGTACACGGCAGGGCGTGAAAACCCAAGATATGCAGCGAGTAGGCGGGAGCCGGAGGACAAGAGAGTAAGGGGAAGAGGAAGCGAGGAGACGCGTGCAGAGGTGAGTCGCCCATCTCCTGAGGTCAAGATTACCGCGACCCCTTCAATGACGGCCCCATCCACGCCCCCACAACAGATGGTGAATGAAAGATTTCTGCAAATACATCCCTCCCCTTCTGCCATGTCGGTCGAGCTCAACAAATTTGAGCCGGGTCCAACCCTCACCACTGCCGAGCTAATGGATCTAATGGAAAGCTTAAAAACGCCTAGTCCCCCGTCCAGAAGAAGCAGCCCAACAAGAGGAGTTCCCTCTCCCCTCCCCCCAGATCAGCCAATAGAAGTGTCAGCCACTCCGGCGTCACCCGTGAGTAAGTGGGTGGACGCCATTGAAGAGCGAATCACCGAGCTTTTGCCGCCACCACCCTCAGCTGAGAAGAAACCGAGAGAAGATGGAGATGCAACCACTATCGCGGCCCCACTAGCCCCAGCAGCTGAACATGCTGAAGAAATCGTCCCAAGACCCCCGATCACCCCTGCAACATCCTTGACCACCGAGGCGGCCGAGATCACCGCCAGACCCCCGACTGCGGCCCCTGAAGTCCCTCCTAGCCTGCCCCCCCCCCCCCATGACCCGCGGTTTGTACGAAGTCGTCGGCCGTCGTCCGCCCCTAAGACAACCGCGGGAGCTGAAGTGGAGTGGATGAGACTTCAAGCCCGCGCTGATCCAAACGCCGTAAGACGAAGGGAAGACACCCTTCATCCCATCGATTTCGGGTTGACAGTGCGCCTTGTGACGGAGACGGCTACCTTCCCAGACGGACGTGAATTTTCTACAAGCTTCACAGAATACACCCTGCCCTCCCAGCCGAAGACCCCAAGAGCCTGGACCCGGGATCACGAGTTGTAAATATAATCATAATAATATTTCTTGTGTGTAGTTGCATTTAATTGTTCTATCTTGGGCCCTTAAGTATTTTAGAATAAACAGGAGGCAAAGTAGCTTGAGAATATTGTAAAATACTACTAAAGTTAGTCTGAGAAATTTTAATTAATAATTCCTTGCTTCTCTAAAAACTCAGGCTCCGTTTAATGTTAAATTCATTTCCTTAATCATCAGGAAAGTGCTCGAAAATACATGATGACAAAGTTAATTGTCCTTATTTATTAAGCAGCTAGAATTTTCCCACTGCACTTATATAGATCGCTTTATGTATGCTAGTATTAATGCTGCATCCATGCATATTAATAATAGCCAGCCCAGAATTGCAGCTGTAATTAAAACTGCCATGGGCGAGAAAAATCAATAACTTGTATAAACCTAGTGCACGCGCACCTGTGAATTGACCAAAAATCTGGCTACTGGAATTTAGCGCCTTTTTCTATTTCCCATGATGCATTGGTAAATTGTGTTTATGTTAGAAACAAGATGGCGGACTAGTCGAGCGTAGGTTGTGTGGAAAGTTGATTCTTTTAGAATCTTTTTGACAGCATTGTACCTGTTTAAGAACATTTTTCTGAGCAGTAACTGATAGAACCTGGCACTTAGCAAGAAATAAGGTAAATTAGACAGATTGAGACTAGTGTTTTAGTAGATTTATTTATCAATAACCAGACAAAAGTTGTAATGTTGAGCAAAGAGTCGAGTACATTGAGTATAACGTTAGGCCTATTCGCCGGGTGTGTAAAGATATGCGCGTATAGACGACACGTAGGCTACACACATCTTAATATTGACTAAGTTTTGAGATAGCCATACTGGATAAAGCCCTACTTGTATTTTGAATGTACGGTTGTAAAAAATATACATAGAGGAAACAATTGTTTTTAGATGATTGCAAATATTTAAGTTAAGGCAGGTCCAACATGTCCAATTTTTGCAATGTTTTAAAAAAAAACTTGTTTGCGATATTGACAATGGGTATTTATTTGTTGAGAAATGTTTTGTGTTGCGGCCAAGAATACCCATGTTACTTTGTTAGTTTGCAAAATTTTATTAACCTTCAACTCTTAAATGCGAGGACGCATTTGTATTTTAAGTAGGGGAGAGTGTGTCAAAAATCGCTCTGCCTTTGTTGAATTTCTGGAACCCTATACTTTATTTAGTCAAGTTTACCATCAGAAACTATTCTCTCAAATAACACATCTTTTCTAGCGTTTATTACACTTACCAACTACTCACACAGGAATATAGGCACATCCTTGGTGAATGTAGAATTATGGAAAGCATTTAATTATCTGCTTATAGACTGCTAATTTCTCTATAGTTGTTATTTCTTACAGATCGTAGCGACAGTGGTTTTACATAACACAACTGGTTAATGGCAGAAGTATGTGTGTAAGACAGGTATTGCATATCGTTTGTGTAGTAAGTAATGGGATTTGTACGTTAAACAAATACTGTGTATCTTTCAATGGCAATCGTTGATCAGTGCAAGTGACCCATTTGCATCACGTATATTTCAGCCCCAAAAACAGTGCGTGCATTTAGTTGTCTTCTCACGCATGCGCAATGGTTTCCTCCGCGTCGTCGGCTTGCAAACAGCGGTAGCAGACGACGCACTGAACGATTGTCTGGTTTTCATGTCTTAAAATGTATCCTTCTCAAACGTACTTAAAAGATGATTCAAACCAAAAATTATCAGTAGACCAAGTGAACAAAGTTATAAATTGTCTCTACAGTGTGGTAACGGCGCTAAAAACGTTTTCAAATATATAAAAAAAAGCAATAATTATGGACAAAAAAACGTACAAAATGAAAAGGAAAAACATCGTTCGCTTTTGCATTTGGTTTACACATTTGGACAATTTGCCGGGTTTACCTCAGATCAGCCGTAGTACCATCGGAAAGGATGATAAATTATTTTCTTTTTACAGGTGATTTGATGTAAGAAGGAAACCTGTAGCTTATAAAAATCGTCATTTTTCGAGTAAACCCATTTTGAAAGCTTCGTGCTAAATACACTGGTCCCAGTGCCCTCTATGATCGTACTTTACTGCATTTCAGGGCCGGGAACCAGTCACTTGTAAATCGTTTCAGTTAAATGTATACATTTCCAACGCGTCAAAAGATTACAAACGGAGCGGCGCGTGGCTAGCCATATGTTTACGGGCCAGATTACAGGGTCTGTGTACAGGTACGTGCACACTAACGTTACATTCAACGAAAAAAACCTATAACGTGAGACCTCACTTTTCTATTTGAAACGGTTTCCGACTTAAATGATATTTAAACATCGCACTTTCCGTGGCATCCTTTACCATCTTTCAGTGAAGACAAGTTTACAATTACTCGGCAAAACTGAAAAGTTATCCCCTAAACTGTTGCCTGTTTTGAATTTGTGACCCAATACTTTCGTACTACACGACACGGAAAAACAAAAAAAAATGCATCAAATACTCTCTGTTTTTTTGCGCTAAGGTTTGCAACAGTGACTTTTATTGCCTAAAATTCCTGTCCACATGGAAAGAAAAATTTATCAAAGTATTTCGAGCGTGTTGACCGATACTTCAGTGGGTCAAACTGCGACTGCAAACATCCATATTTGCTGAGTATAAGTATTTCATATTTTGAGTGCGCATGCGCGCAAACTAAATGAGCGGCTGAAACATACGTGGCATATACGCCGCGCGCGTTTAGCCAACTGTAGTGTGCGCGCAGTTCGTTACCTACTTTTGCACTGCCGAACGTCTATAAAAGGCGAGCGTTTCCAGCAGTCGGGTGGCTCGGTTCGTTCGAACGAGTCCTGTGCAGCAACAAGAGGCAAGCAAGTGCCGTGGGCAAGGCGCACAGCTGGTAAGTGCTGTGTATGTTAAGTCGGCAAAGAAGTGCCGTGAAGTTTACAAGTTAAAGTCGGCAAAGAAGTGCCGTGAAGTTTACAAGTAAACGTCGGCAAAGAAGTGCCGTGAATTTTACATCGTTGGTCATCAGCGTACAGGAGCTGTGAAGAATTATTAGTCAGCATACAAGAGCATCTAGTCAGCGCTCATAAACAAGCCCTTGCCCAAGCTTCAAATATTAGTCGAGCAAAGCACGCGTACTTAATCCTGCAGAACCGCACGTGTATTTTAAATAGCTGCAGCGTCGTACCGTGCAGAATAGTCACTCATTCTTAACAGCGAATGACATACTTTTACTTGCAGTAAATATAAATTACATGTAAATAATTCTCCTGTTATAAATAGACTTGAATTGGCGCCCAAGTTAACACTGTAAATAAATTATATTGTTGCGAATTGAGTTCTTGAATTACAAAAGCTGTTTCCTCGAGTGAATTACTTAGTGTCTGTTAATTGCTAATGCGTGCGCTTGCGCATTAATAATATTAGAAGACTTCTTCAAACATCCTCCTTTAATGACTGTGGAGTCTTCCTGATGAGCCTGGACTGCTTCGACCTCCCCACCCCTACCCTCTAGCCCCGCATAATTCGTCCATTTGTTTAAAACCTCGAATCCCTCCCCCTTCCCCTCACCAATCCACGCCCACCCCCGAGGCTACTGGCTGTGACTGGATTGATGTTCTTTCCCCTTCGAGAAGTCCCTGCAGACAACCGCCAAGCAAGCCAGCCGTAAGTATACGGTGGGTATCAGGTCATCATCATTCTCTGAACGGGCACTCCTCGCCCGTTACAATACAGTTGAGAGTTGTGAAACACGCGGGCATCATGCGCCGACCCGGGAATCCTGCAAAGCAGTTGTTGAATGTCCTATTGTTGTCAAAAACAGCTTGCAAGACTACCGAGTGTGTCATCTTGCGGTTGTTATAATCAGCCTAATGTTCAGATGGGGCTGCAATCGGTATGTGGGATCCATCCAATGCACCTATCACCCCTGCAAAAAGTCAAGTGTAAACAACATGTCATAGACATCTTTTGAAAACAATGAGTTTTGCTTGAATTCAATGCAAAGACAACATTATTTGACAGGTGTTTTAGTGTATCATCAAAATATTTCTTTATCTGTCTTGCCCATGATTAACAAAAAAATTGCTTCATTTGTTTCACCCTTGAGATTTCACTTGTATTTTGCATTCAGTTTGTATCTAGTTTGTTGTATCTGAGTACTGATAAACTCAATTTACAAAACTCAAAGGACCTAACAACTAAGGAAAATAAGGCATCACTGTCACAAATGGGACAAAGCTAAGACCATGCTTTTAAAAAAATGCAAACAAATAAAACTACACTTGAACTGCTCTGTTAAACTCGTCGATGATACCTGTGGAAATATGGCAGCAAAGAGAATGAACTATACCTGGAAAATTGGCACGACTCCTGAAGTCTGCAACCATCTGTGGCATCTTTTGTGTCTCTGGCCAACGGATGTACTTAGCAGCAATCTCATGGGCAAGGTGGTGGGTGACTTCCTCACAATCTTGTGCAAGAATGGATTTGCTCATACAACGAATTTCCCCAAACTTCTAGACCTGCTAAGCTTGTTAGGGTTGGACAAAAAGGAAAAGATTTGTAAAGTTTTACATGCAAATTATACATCCACAACAACCATTAAGGAAATGATAGTTTGCATGAGCGAAGTTATTGAAAATGAGATACTAGAAGACATGCAAAAAGTGAACACTTTGCCTTGATGGTTGATGAGACCACAAATGTTACGACCGTAGAACAAATGGTTATCCACGCTCGTTTTCTAGACAAAGATGGAAATGTGCGTGTGCACTTTCTTAAAATAATGGATTGCTTAGAAAGGACACCCCAGGGACCCCCTACTGTTGAGGCTGTGAATGAGAATGTGGATGTAGTCCACATGGATGCTTCCGAGAGTGAGACCAACGCCGCAAATGAGACTGTAGATGGAGATGTGGAGGAACAGTTGATTGGCAATGACAAGGAACTTGACTTTACAATTATAACCTTGAACGCTAGTCACATCGCATCTAAATTTACAGAGTT